ATATATATTCCTATATAGCGGCCGTGTTACATTCGACACTATAGACGACCAACACGTCATGCCTGCCACAACCAAAGCCAGTACAAGGCGAGCGATTCTCACGCGTGCGTCCCATATTCTGTTATTGTTTGCTGATGTGAAGATCCCACAGAAAAATAGGAAAATAGGCTACCTACTCATGACTACCTATCCATGGCTACCTATTCATGACTATGCAGCATTCGTAACACCACAGGCTGCCCACTAATAGGTCGTTTTATGTCTGAAGCCTAAAATACAGCAGCCATAATACGACAGACCAAGTATACGTTTGCTTGCAGATGCAATGTTCAGCAGATATCCAAAACCTAAAGCATGCGTGGAGACGACGTATTGTGAGACTATTCATCAGACCTTCAATTCGCCCCACACATATTTATTCGACACACATATGTTTCAAATAATGTAAAACAATGTGTATCATGTGGTAAACGCATGCGTATCCATGCACACCTCTACTTATATATACAACCAAGAGCTCAACCGAGACTCCGGCACACCCCCTGTACAGGCCTACCAGTAACCAGCACCAAGGACATGGTTAACCCACAGCCGGCCGAGTCAACCTCTCCATCCGAACCATGGAAGGTCAGCGTCTCTGCGCACACAGACGCCAACGCAAAACCCACACGCCGCACCAAGTCGCACACACACTGGGTCTTGGCCGACAAGAAAGAGGCACATCGGTAGGTATCACGCGGTCAAGCTGGTGTAGGTAGGGTAAATATATTTGTAGATAACGTAGGTATACATGTAGGCAAGGTGGGTGCTTAATGGTGGGTACCTGGAATATTCTTAGCTAGAACAAGGTATGGACTGAGGATATAAGCCATGTAGGTAAGGTGGGTACTTATTGGTTAGTACCTGTGTACCTGGTTTGTCATCCGCCAGGGTCAAGATGTGTGCAGTAGACTTATGCTGGTCAGGTAGGGATGGTGGCAGCACATATTGACCACTCTCTGTATTGCTACGGCGTATGGCATACACTGGGGTCCAACTCTGTAGGTAGCGCAGCAGAACATAGTGGAGCGTATGGGTTTAGGGTTGTTAGTGTTCTAGGGTTTCAGGGTTTCAGGGTTTAGAGGTTGACAGCCGTGTCTGCTGTTTATTGGCACGTGTCTGCATCGCCATCCGCAGCGGGTGCCTAGCTCAGGCCTGGCGAACCGAGCCCATCCCACCTTACTTGTACGTGATACTGTTCATTTAGAAGGTTATACCACCTTACTTGTATGTGATACTGTCCATTTAGAAGGCTATGGGGATAGGTTTAGTACTAGGGAATGACTTAGCAGGTGTGCGTAGCCAGCACCACTGACCTTAGGATGGTAGTGCGATACCCCAGTCTTTCTCAGATACATACCACAGGTCTAGTCCCGCAAGCCAGTCCGAAAATCAAAAACAGGACACAGCTGAATAGAAAAGGACCGCCGAGGACAAGCACTCGCACTCCTCTGTGTGTGTGTGTGTGTGTGGCGCACAGATACAGATACACAGTGTCACGTGTACTGTGGGTCTGAGGCCCTACAGCATCTACAATACCTCGACCGTAAACCTTCGCACGCAGACACATGCACAACAGGTGCATACTTTATCCCAGCTTTGTCGAGATATTCTGACCACCAACGCTACCCATTAGATGTTCTGACCACCAACGCTACCCATTAGATGTTCTGACCACCAACGCTACCCATTAGATGTTCTGACCACCAACGCTACCCATTAGATGTTCTGACCACCAACGCTACCCATTAGGTGTTCTGACCACCAACCCTACCCATTAGATGTTCTGACCACCAACGCTACCCATTAGATGTTCTGACCACCAACGCTACCCATTAGATGTTTTGACCACCAACCCTACACATTAGATGTTCTGACCACCAACCCTACCCATTCCGGTCTGTATAGGGAGGCAGTTAAGCGCACGCGCCGAGCAATAGACGAAGCAATGAGAGATCTCTCCCGTATGCTGATGTCTACCGATCATCTGTTCACGCGGGTGTGCGTGTTCTTTTTCTATGTATTAGACAGACACTTGTATTGCCTAAGCGTATTGTCACACGGTTACATCACAGTGACCTTGTGCACACGAGAATATATATGAGTGATCCCAGATGTGAGGTACTACAGTAACAGTATCAAACTATCCCAGATGTAATACAGAGGGAAGCTTATGTATGCGTGCGTACTATACAGAGGTAAGCCTATGTATGCGTGCGTACTGGTTTTATCGGATGGGCGGGTACGGCACCCATGCCCTTGTGACTGACAACATTTACGCATACAGGTTGTGCAAAGAGTTCAGGTTGTTTCCTGCGCTCGGATCATAGACAAGTGTACTTGTGCGCGCGTATTGCAGCGAGCACAGGGAGTGTGACTATATGACGTTTGTGGTCTATATGTATAGAGGAGGTGAAACTTCAACCAATGTGTAGACACTGATAAAATCTGCGCCGAACATACATAAACGTGGAACGGTATATGTGTGCGTTTAAACCAAAGTCTACCAGTGTCAATGATTGACAAACTGACAAAGTGCATAGGCTCAGACTGAAAAGGATTTTATCGTCGCAGAAGGAGAAGAGAGGTGCGAAGGTGAACAAGTTGACGATCAAGCACAATAGCATAGTGGAATTGGGTAAGCTCGGGTGAAAGCAGTTTTCTATTTATGGATTATACACACACACCTACACGGACACGCACATACACTCACACACTCACGCACGCACACACACATACACATACACACATATATATTATATTTATTC